ATTAGTGTTAAAATCACGTTTGTACAATTATATAAGAAAATTATTCCTCATGTTATGTCAGATCAATATTACCGTAAATTAATGCATTAATATACATATACTTGTACATTGATTAAATATTCAATATAGTATCAAATATAGTATGCAATATAGTAATCAATACTTTTAAAACATAACATAACATATTACATAAATAATAAATAATAATAATAATTATTATTGAGTACATCGATATAATTATCGTCTTATCAGTTATCATACACATGGTAAGTAAAAATGTATAATATGTACATAAGTTGAATGTGAGTAGATTTTTAAATTGGTCGATGAATTGTGATTAATCCCCCCCCCTCCGGATAATAAGAGCCAAGTGCCGCCTAAGCTGCCCGTCACTGACCCGTGACGTGGCTCCGACCGTGAATCGGACGCGATTTCCTGCCTCCGCTGCTGCTGCTGGTGCACAGGAAATGCTGGGACAGATAAGGGTTGAGGATGGACGCAATGAAAACGCTGCACACGTATTATCATAAATTCTTATATTTAACTGGTACATACAGCGCAATACATATATTTATATATAGGAGTACACATCAGTTCTAAGTATTAAGTGCCCTGTTCTAAGTTCATACGTAGGTAATATTCTAAGCTAATACACGTTTTATAATAATTATTATTATTATTATATTAATATTTTTTTTTCCGACATTTATTCGTTTACACAGCGGGTATATATATATATTTATAAATGGCAATGGGTTGAAGGATGTACACACAACACGTAATGTATTTCATCGTGTATTCATTCTCATGTGCATTATTATTATTATTATTATTATTATTGTTATTATTATCGTACGCGGTACGTTATTTTCCAGCCGACGCGTTAACGTCCTTCGATCTTAACCAACTGCACACAAGCAATAATAATATACAAAATAAATAATAATAATAATAATAATAATGATAAAAAAAAATGTTACAATAAATTAAAATAAAAAATAAATAAACACACAGAGCGTTGCTACTATCACTATATTCGTGTCGTATTATCTCCCGAAATGCAATAATAAGTAGTCGACGGGTTCGAACGGTTACTTAAACCGTAAGTTTTGTTGGAACATTCAGCCAGTTTGACATTTATTTTTTTATTTTAAACGGTCACGTATCGCGTGGGCGACAAGACCGTCGATAATATTACAGTCGTAAGTTACGTTAATTATTTATACATTTTAGTGAATCGTTTATTATCATAATCATTGTTATTATTATAATTTTTTTCTTTTTAATAGAAAATCAGAACGTTTTATTTTTCTCTCGTTTGTACTTTTTGGTATTATTATTATTATTTTGAGTTGCGTTGAAACGAATATATAGGAACTTGAAAACATAAAAATACGCCTAAATCAAATAATAAAGAATAAACTCGGTTTATAGATACCTATATGAACACCGACCGCGAAATAATGACTTATAATAATAACAATAATAGTTGGTGTACACGAATATCTCGATAGTACTACGTAAGTATGTATCGCGTTCGGTAAAACAATAATCCGTCGTAAATGTATTAAAAAAAAAAAAAAAAAAAAAAAAATAAAAAAAATAAACCGAGACGAGTACTATAAATAAATTATATTGTTCTCTACACGTATATAGTGTATATATATATATATATATATATACAATATTTACGATATGAACTGAAAGTAAATAGATTCACTGGCAGAGCGTGTGATGGGGGGTGTGGTGACAAGAGAAAAGGGCGAGAGCGGAGAGAGGGAAAATGGCGAAGCTAAGTAATAGTCGTAGCAGTTAGTGCTCAGGTATGAGTAAAGTTGTGTGTAGGTAAATGTGGGTAAGACCTGTCGCGCGTTATACATACGAGTGTCGGGGGTAATCAGTGGCGGTGGCGGCGGCGATGGGAGTGCTCGGGCGGAAGGGACCTAAGAAAATACGAGTGTTCCATAACGTGCGCGCGCGCACCATTGAAACACATACATACACCAGGTGTACACGTATAGATTGTAGAATGGAAGTAATGTATATTTACGTTCGTCGGCGAGTGTGTGCAAACTTAGTCCGTAAGTTAGAAGACGACATTCGACGGTGGGAAATATAATAATAATAATAATAATAATAATAATAATGATAGTAATAATAATAAATAAAAGTGGTACATTATATAACAGTAAAAATGGATGGTCCACGAAGGGAATATAAATCAATATAGTACAATGTTTCACCGGCGACACGAAATTATTATTATTATCATTGCACGTAAGACGAAATACGTCGTAATATAAAATATTACACAAATCCTTGTCAACGTGCGTGGTGCCCGATAATGGTCGTAGCAATAATAACAATTATATTAATAATAATAGTGAAAATAGAATTTATTAATTGGAGGCCCGTCTGTGGGTTCGGCGGAAAGGAAACGGTACAAAAGAATTGTACACTCGGCACAAATCGATTAATCAGCCACGATTTTTTTATTTTTTTTTTTTATTTATATATAAACATGTATAAAAGATAATAAATAGTGTATTGTAACGTTCGATTGACAAAATTTTTTTTTTTAGTTCTTAAGAATTTTTTTTTTTTTTTTTGCGGATCGTATTCGTTTTTTTTTTTTACACAATCTCAAATAAGTTTACAGCGGCCCAGGTCCGCACATCATCGATGGACGGTAACAATAATATTGAAAAGTGACGGATACACCTGTAATGGGTGGTCGTTTTTCCTTATTTTGCACGCGTTGCTGAGGAAACAAATACTATTATAACTATTGTAATCTATTGCTATTGTTGCTATTATTATTATTATTATTGATATAACCTACGATTACTGTACTTGTTGTACACGTCGTTGTAACTTCTTGGGTTATTTTTTCACTTTAACGGTTTCGGCCTATAACACGCCTTGGTCGCCAAATATTTTATTATTATTATTATTATTATTGTTATTATCTGTTTAAGGTAGTACTATATGGACTGAGCGTTATGTGAGGGCTGCATTACGGTCCGAGGGTGACGCTACGAGGCAACTAATATTATAATTATTATACGCAATACGTAATACAAATTTTTACACATACAAATTTCGTTCAAGTATGTTCCTTATCGTTAACAATAATATTAATAAAAGGTCTTACACGTTACATTATAAGTATAATATTACAATAACACAACGTATGTGTGTGTGTGTGTGTGTGTGTGTGTGTGTGTGTGTGTGTGTGTGTGTGTGTGTGTGTGTGTGTGTGTGTGTGTGTGTGTGTGTGTGTGTGTGTGTGTGTGTGTGTGTGTGTGTGTGTCTGTGTGTCTATGTCTGTGTCTGTGTCTGTGTCTGTGTCTGTGTGTCTGTGTGTCTGTGTACCTAATATAGTGAAATGAAATACACAATATATATAATATATAATAATATGTAGTAATATAGTTAATGTTATTATTTACACAATATACGATTTTACAAAATAATATTTTTCCTTTATATATATATATATATATTCATATTTGTATATAATATATAAAACTATTTTCACACAAACGTAATAGAATCATTAAAAAAAAAAAAAAAAATATATATATATATATATATATATATTTAAATAAATAAAGGAAAAGAAAGAAAGAAATACGTAGTACATGTATATTTTTATACATAGATACTATCAATAATCGTATATATATATATATATATATATATATATATATATATATGATCGAATAAAAAATAATCAAACAACGGATGGCAAGTAAAACATTATTATGGCGTGTGTAATTTTTCGTACTTTACGTTTCAGACGAAATCCAGCCATGAAGATTAAAATAGTCGTACATGCACAGTATAATTCATATACACATACATCAGGGTAATTATAAGAAGAAACTAAATTTATACATTTACATAGATTATATGGTCAAAAGTGCCTAAAACGTGTTAAAAATTAACGATCACAGAAATTAAATTACAAGTAGCCGATTAGAACGAGAATATAGGTACCCGATTTATAATAATTTCGCGTTCATTTATGCGGTATAATATACACACAAATTATTATATTTGATTATTATTATTTAATTTTAATATTTTTTTATTTACTTATTTTTTTAAATTTAAATTTAGTTCTCTACGGAATATACACGTCAATATATAATACATATGTATGAATACATATAAATACATATATATATATATATATATATTTGTGTGTGTGTGTGTGTGTGTACATGTATACGAATAAATGTCATATGGTTACTGTACTCAACGACGAAAGGTGGCGGCGGCGGCGGCGGCGGCGGCCAGAGGGGAATGCGTGTTATCCGTGTGACGTAGTGTAGTTTTTCGGACGACGCGGTTTTTTGATTTTTTTTAATTTTATTTCTATTGTTTTCGTTCCCGTTTACTTGCACCCAAGAGCACGTGCTCGGACGGTGGCAAACATCGCGAACCTATAGTTGGAAACGATGGCTACGATGGCGGTCTTAGAACGTTTTCTCTGTTCGAACGTCACAAGAATACGGACCGACGAAAGATCGCCGCGGGTTTCATTTTCTAAAGGAATTCATACCGATCTAGCTAACCGGTGTGTATTTATTTATTATAAACGGGTCAAACCCTTCGAAAGTGATAGTATACACACCGATATATGACATTGTTCGTACCGCATCCGCCGTGAGCGTAAACATTTACGGTCTTCCGCGGAATACGCGGCACGGGTTTGAAATAATAAAAACGAATCGTTTCGCGGGCGGACGGGAACGACCATCGGTCTTCGCCAGGTCTTAAAAATGTTGTTAAAAACGATAAAAATAAAAACCACACCCCCCGTCGTTCTCAGTTATTCGCTCGTAATAAAATGTCGTACACACATACACACACATGCCAATATATATATATACAAATAATACTAGTAATAATTATAATAATAATGATAATAATAATAATAATAATAATGATAGTAATATAATAATAATAATAAAGATGATGATAATAATAATAATAACAATAAGAATTGCTCGGGGGAGGGGGATGGGGTTTATAGGAGGATATATTACGATTATTATTACTATCATCGGTGGCGGTTGTTTATAATAATAATAATAATAATAATAATATATATTTATATGTACACGGGTATATAATAATATCGTATTCGTATATAGTAAAATAAAAACGCCATTTAGGTATGTACACAGTGTGTTATTTGATCAATACGTAGTAATAATGTCATGCTGCGATCGAAATGTTTTATCGTATCCGGACACGGCGTGAAATGCCTACAGCATACATAGATGTACTTAAGTATAATATACATATACGCACACGAAGATATAAATATGTGTACGCGAGTGAAATCGTGTTCGTATGTGTGCTCGGCGATAGTGTGACGGTGTGACGGCCTATCGCCGTGACGCCAACAACTGGACTGCGGTGGCCGCGAGGACTAGAATTGCAAACATCATCGTTGAGCTGCTGCGGGTCGCGCTGGAACCGTTGTACGTGAGCTCTTCGTTCTTGACCACTTCGTTGGGATGCTTGTCGTATTCGGCTGTGGGACAAACAGGCAAAATTGCAACGCGTTAGAAGGGCTTGGAGACTATTCTCACGGTACGGTATAACATTAAAATCGTTTTGATGCGTTTGCGAGCGCACGTGATCGAAAGTACGGAGAACTACACATCCTACGAAACAATTGAATAAAATAAAACGGCATACAGATTTAAAGGAGAAAAAACCGAACGCGCTAAAATTATTCCAAAACAATTCTAGCAGAATATTATTGAAATGTCGAAGAGGATGATTCGACGATTAGTAAGGAGGGGAAGAATAGAGTTAACATTGTTAAATATCCTTGTACCCTTCCCGATTTTCGTCTAAGATGCTCGCGGTATTCTCTAGAAACGGGCAAAACGAAAGTGCACACCGCGAACGTATTGATTCGTTCGCAATGTGGAACGGTTTATTTTACAGGGTCCGATGGTGCGGGCACGTCGAAACCGTTACCGTTAAGAATACATTAGTTAAACTTACATGATTTTTTGTGAGACGGTTTGTTCTGCAGGGACGTTCCGGTTGCGCCGAACGGAGGCTGTTTGCCGACCGACGGCGGTTGTTGCGAGGACGACGGCGAGTACACGGACGGCGGTCGGGCCGGATATCCGTGCGTGCTGACCGGACCTGGAAGTCGCTGTGTGTTGCCGCCCATGCCCGGGTTTTGCGGCGGTCTGGTGGCCAGGTCTGCGAAAAAACGGACGGTATTTATCATTACGATCTTAACACATGACGGGATCACGACATTAGTCAACGCGTCGTTGCGTTGTTTTACGGCAGAGACGGATAACTTCGGAAGTTACTATTGGGCCGGTTTTAAGATATTTGCAATCTAGCTGGTCGGAGAGTGAAAATTACAAGATTACAACCGAGATACACAACATATACAACACGATGGCCAATACTGCTGTGCGATGGAACTAGTACACTATACGGTATTAGTCACCAGATGTAAATTAGTTCGATAGCGGATGAGGATTGATATCAACGTTCCGTTAATGATGTGAGTCAAATAGGTACATATTAAAATTAATAAATACACGTTATCTCGACATGTTGTCGCGTAGTTTTTTTTTCTCCAACGTAAGTGTATTCAATTTTGATAGGTAACGCGGGTCAGATGAAAACCGTTCGTGGGCCACCAGTTGCCCATCCCTGATAAACACAGTGTCGTAGGTATGCGCATATGTACTCACTCTGATTGTTCTGTTGGTCTTCTGGTCTGCAGCACACCTTGAACACAACTTTCATGTTGTTAGTAGAGCAGCGACCGCCGATTCTGCGGTGGATGTCATCCTTGGACGAAGTGGCTGAAAACACGAGCGATTTGATTAAGACCGTATAACCATACATATACGTTCGTATATATTATAAATACACCGTAGATACTAAATGTAAAATATAATTGCATTTTTGTGCGTAGAGGGAAATGCGTGCAATTATTTCGCACTATATCAATTGAAAAAAATAAAATAAAACGTAACGAAAAGGAGGTTTTATTATTATTATATTATTTTTTAATTAATATACACGGTCGGAACCGATTGCGATGAGGCATATCTGAGTACGATTGTAACAAAAAGTATAGCGTGGTAACGATGGTGGCACATTTCAGCTTCATGCTGAATGAATGTATACTCTGTACAAGACACAAGAAAAATAATCACTCCTTAAAATAAGTTATACATTTTTTTAACTTTACGGATTATTGACTAATCAATGGGTACGTGTAATGTATACATAACCTCTGGACGGAGAAATTGTGATAGTGACGTAAGAAATCGCATGTCGAATTTTAATATACGCGTGTATCGCTACATGGAAAATACAAACGTGATATGGTCGAACACCGATAGGCAGAATCGTATTTTTGGTCTCTTCAAACGTAATATATTTTGTTGTTTATACTTCTGCTCTAGACAAACCGAATCACCGATGGATCGAAATATTTTTTTACCTCTTCAGATTACACGAATCGTCACTTGACTGTTCGTGTACACATACAAGATTCTGTTACGCGGTGAACAGGAGATACCGCGCGTCCTATCGTCACTTAGTATCGTGAGTATAAGACCGCGAGGTTCGCTCGCCTCCTCCAACGCGGATTTTCGCGGCCAGTCTTTTCCCCTTACGACTCGTCCCGATAAACGTCGGCGATTACACATATACACTCTGTAGAGGGGTTGCGACGGGTGGCTGGTCCTTTACGCGCTTCGCGACGAAACATTTACTGCACGCATTGATGGGTATCCGGAGACAGTAAAGCAAGCTTCGAGACGCGTTAAACTTCCCTCGTCGCAAAGCAATAAAATAAAAATAAAAAAAAATACGAAGAGACCGTTTCGTTTAAATAACCACGATCGTTCGAGTGCGACTCGAAAACGGTCATCATTAAGCCGCGAGCTCTATTGCTATTGATTCGTACGACCGTATTCTGTTCGCCACTGGTCGGTAATAAAACGGCAGCAGCCTATACGCGGCGTCATTACACGCCGACGACTTTATCGTCATCTCTTCTCCCCGCAGATCTTTGTTTTACGACCAGTAAAAGCTTTTAAGAATGACGTGGCTCGCGTGCGCCACTCACTGCTCCGCACAGTTCGCCGTGTAGATATGTACTAAAAATACAACGAATAATGTTGGCGGAAAAGTGTATTCTAGAACAAGAGAGGACGTTTAAATAAAAACGTATCTTCTTTTCGGAAAAAAAATAATCGAACTAGTCGTTCTAGACATAAGTTCTCCCAAAATTAAAAAAAAATGGAAGGAATTCTAATCTTTAAGTTAAATATTGAACACGTTTTTCAGACTTAAATTTTGGTTACGTGTAAATATAGCCACAACAGCACGCGGACACGTTTATATACACGTTATGCAATGGATATTTCAATAAAAATAAATAATGAAAACTTTCGTTCACGATTCTAAAAAGGAATTCGATCACATATCATTATTATATAGTCGCTCGTTAAGATTCGACACGATACAGTTGCAACGGGTACACTTACACATTTTATGTTTATATATACGCATAATATGATAATATATAAACATACGAACACGTACACATATATAAGTGAATGAATGGGTACTTACAGATGAAATAGTAGTCCTGTCCCGGCTGAAATTCGAGTCCGCCCGGTTGAGGCGTGAACGACCTGAACGTTATGGTGACGTACATCAGTTTGTACGGCTTGTCGCAGTACGCTATGATCCGAGGATTGGGATTAGTGATTCGGCACATATCGTATTCCTCCTTGGACACCTGAAACAACATCATACCGCGTGTTAATATAATACAAGTGACGAGATGCGTCTTAAAAGATAATAAATCCGTACAGCGTTGCATTGCGATGTGCAGAGCGAGCGCGCGGGTACAATATGTGAACGATACTATTTCCGATGCCACCACGTGCGACATGTACTCAATGATTGTACAACGAATTCTGTCGGCGTATAAAACCACAATCGTGATACGTGTACGACCGAATTTAATCCGATACGACAACGATCGGTTTAAACGCGTAAGACGCGTATATAATATATAATTCGTATTGTTGCGCAGGCAGGGCGGAAAAACGTTTTCTCTGTTACGCGTAAAAATTGACGGGGCGCAAGGGAATGGGCGTTCTTCTCTTTTTTGGCAGACGTGTTCGAAAATCGTTTGCATACAGCGCTTAACTGTCTGCGAGGTTATTCGAAACGGATCCTGACGCGGGGCACTATTGTGCTGCGACGTTTTTGTTGGACGCAGCTTTTTATTCACGTCGAGTATAATGGTATTTTTGACGGAGAGATGGACGGAGATACGGAGAGTGAGAGAGAGAGAGAGAGAGAGAGAGAGAGAAAGAGACGGACAAAAAAAGCAAAGAGAAAAACTATAATGAATATAAATACAACTCATCAGTGCTGCTGGTGCTGCAGTTCACTGCCGGTAAACAAAAACTTGTGTTGAATCGCGGGGGCATTGTGCAACTACTATAAAGCCAGGTCCGCCGTCAATTATCCCGGCGAGTTTGAAAAAGCCGAAAAGTTATACGCCACAGCGTACCCCCGGGCCGCTGTTAATGCCACATTCACCAGTCGGCCGACGCGTGCCTCGCCTCCCTCGCCAGGGTCAAAGGTCTTAAGGCAAAAAGGGTCCTACTATCCGAAACATCGAACGAACGGCAATCGACTACAGTTACATACGTGGTACGTACGGATGAACTTGAGAAATTACGACGATCGAGTACGCCGTACTTGTCAGCGGCACCCAGAGGAGGGGATCACTTTCTTCTTGCGCGAAACGCGTGTATTTTTTTGCGACCCCGGTCGAAATCATAATAATATTTAAAAATGTTTAAAACGCGTTCAACGTGTTTCTCAAGAGAACACCGTGCCACCGGCTGAACGAAACGTTCTCGCGGTCGGTTCGCGGCGAAAGCGTACCGCGGCTGGTAAACGTGCAATGATACTACGATCGCGCAGGGTCCCCGTCGCGATCGATCGACATCAGCGACGGAAACAATAACGGTAACGTATTGGTATCGCGCATACAATAGGATTAACACACTCACGTTGTAAATTATGTATTTTTCCGCGTCCGACTCGTGCGTCCCCGGAGCGTACACGGGACACACGATGTTCACTTGGTCGTATTCGAAAGGCATGTTGCCTTTGTTCACGTCGATTATGTGGTCCGTATTGTCTATCCGGAATCTGAAACAATAGTTTGCGAGGTTAGTTACGGTTTACACATACGCGCGTGCATAACATTATAAACAGTAGTCGCGGTACGACGGAGTAAGGGTGTGTAATTATTATAATTAAACAAGCACACATAACGATGCCGTAATATGCACCCCGTACGTGATAATACTGCATACGTCCGTGTATCAGATGTTGGCAACGTTTTTTGTAGGATAAAGCTATTATTTGATTTTTTTTTTTAATTTTTTTAAATTACAAAACCATCAAGTTCAAAGAATCGTTCGTACGACTTTTCTATATTAAGAAAATAAATCTCGACATCGAGGCGTATCCTAAAGAGCCACATACGGTTCGGCAGCAGCAGGTTGCCGACCCATCGTCTCTGTCAAGGACGGACGACTGAAAATAACAATAGAACCAATTTATAAAACTTCTTTAAAATTGGCAATTAGAATTTATTTTATATCGCTAAACTTTACCTTAACTTACGCTAAACTTGGACCTATACAATACTTAACCTAATACCTATAGCTATGTTAGCTATGTCGATATAAAAATAATATGTAAAAAAAATATAATAGTAAAGAAAATGTATTGTATTATACTTAAACGTTAAAATAATTCAGCAGCAGTTCAATAATGGATCGAGTATATTATCTACGTTTCACGATTAACGTAATCAAATAAACCGATAAACGATACACAATTTTACGAAGTAATTCCAAAATGTAACACGGGTCAGATAAAAAAAGTATGCGGGCCGTTAGTTGCCCATCACTGGCCTATATTCTCGTAGCTTGTCCTTTCTACAGGTGTTATACGTATTCACACTGCATATTATTTTGTATTAGATAATTTCTGTTCACTGCGATACGAATATAATATAATAGTACCGTGGAAGTATTAAACATTAACGTGGCACAACCGGAAAGGATCCATAATGTAGGTAGCTGTAACGAAAAGTTTTCAAATTTTTTCTTTTTCTCTTTTAACGTCCACCTATCATAAAATGCCTATAGGTTGATCTTGATAAAATCTCTAGTATTTGCCACCGAATCGTCAGAAGTTGATCGCACACGATTTCCACGCGTTTCGCCCATGTTGCGTTATTTTCAGAAAGCAAATTGTAAACTAAAGCAAATTTACGGTGCACGCGAAACATTGTGTTGTATTTTAGAACTCTCTCGGACACCGTGTCTCGCGCGTGTACACGTAGATACGCATTGTATTCTATTATTCGGGCGATTCGATTAATACGCAGCGTTGGAATCGCACACAGGTACACATCGGTGTGTACGATAACGTATAAATAGACAAAACCAACACCGGATGTGTGTGTGTGTGTGTGTGTGTGTGTGTGTGTGTGTATGCACGACGTTGTTTTCGCTGACAACTAGACGATATTATAGAAATGCATAGGGAAACAGACGGATAAATGCGCGCACTCGAGGGATTCCGCGGCGACAACTTACGTTCTCTATTGTACCTTATCCGTCCGCGCACCCCATGTTTCATTCAGTGAACGCTCACGTGAACATCATTTTCGCTATACAATTATTGTTTTATGATGATCATTTCATTATGGCAACAGATTTCTAACCGTAATCATGATTCTGCAGCGAACGCCGTCTCCCGTCGAGCTTTTATCTCTATTTACTCTTTATTCCCTGGTAGCAACATACCGACAATCGCGTTTTTTTGCGCATCATCAACGACATCCGGTTCGAGTGAAAATACGAGCAGTCGACGGATTTCAGATACAACAATAAATATTGTACCGATAAAAAAAAAATAAAAAAAAACGGTAAGAAAGTATGTGTTTACATTTATAAACCGTATTATAAATCCCAAAGAGTGTTTAACTTTTTTCTTTACGCATCATTATTGTCTATACACCGTATACTACATACTCGTAACACTTCGAGGGGTATACTTATAAATACAAAACGATTGTGTAAATATAGTTTCCATTCTTTGTCCAGGTGTTTTTAATTTAGTTTCCAGAAATGAAAAACTTTTTTGTTAGTACTGAACTTTATAAAGAGGGTGCGGTGCGCGATGACCATCGAATAACCATCGAATAACCAATAAACAATAACTAGTACGTACGGGTAGGAAAAAAAATATGTTCAAACTTTTATTATTGTCGTATCACACAGTCGTATGCATGATATTGTTGCCCAGCTATTTACACGAGAGTTTCGAATATCGTTTTCGTATCGTCTCATATTTTATAAATATAATGCGCCCGCACGTATATATATATATATATATATATACATACTTACATGCTGACGTTATAAATATATACATGTGGTACGAAGAAGGCTTATACGTACGTATTAAGTGAAAGAATGTGTCCGGTCATCGTGTACGCGGACGCAAGCGAAAGATTCTCGGCTCGGCGGTCATAACGAATCGATTTGGACCATACGTTTTTTTATGCTTCTCACTTTTATAATGTATGCGCGTCTACATTACAGACTTATTGTCGAGCGCGTCATGGGCGAACCGATACGGTGTGACGCGCATCGCGTTTGACATTGGAGATCGAAATAAAAATGCACACTGAACACACACACACACACACACACACACACACACACACACACGCACGCATACGCACGCACACACGGTGATGACGAATGAATTTCGATATCGGTTTAACGGGAGAAGAAAAAAAAAATAACATGATTGTCGCGTAGTCGAACGGACGCATAATGTGTGCAGCGTTATTATCGTTTTTATACGCATCTATTCTGCGCGACATCAAGCACCTGGAATCAGATTTCTGATCACCGTTGTGTAGTGCACTTGAACGCAACAACATGAGTGGAACAGGTATATAAACAGTGTTATAAAACAGTGTTTCCAAAAGCGCTGGCTCGACAGCGAATAGGTGATAATACGAGTCGAACGGGGTCGATAGCAGAGCCGTGTAACTAGGGTGAGGCGAGCTAAGCACTTGCCTTGGGCACCTGAAGCTGAGGGTTGCAAAAATATTAAATAGTTAAATAATTTTAAGAAATGTTATTTCTTGTTTTGCTAGAAAACTGATTACAATTTTTCAGATTTTTTCGAATCGAATTATATATACTAAAAGCTGTGAGTGTGACAACTCTACAACCAAGGGGGCGCGTTGCTTCAGTTCTGCCTCAGGATAAAAAATGGCTCGGTACGGCTTTAGTCGATAGTACTGCAGATTTTATGTATCGTACTGTTGCGATCGCGCGCGTCCACTTGATAGTGATAAATCGACGGGAATAACTTACGCTACTGCAATTACCCGCGTGAAAAAAAAAAGCTTTTTCAGCTCGTACGCTTTGATGGTATATAGCTTAAATGCAATTCTCGTATTAAGTGCATTTGTTGTTTGGAAAAATGATCGGCCCAGTCGGATGCCGTATGCGATGGGTAAGATAACCGAAATAGGTGGTCGGTCGGTAGGAACATACTTATAGTCCGTGACCGGGGACGATGGGGAGGAAGGGTGGTGTTACACATGTACATATTTGTACGGAATCGGTGCAAATGACACATGTTTTTGTATTGTATTTGCGTGCAAAAAACGATACCCTATACCTGACGATAGGAGAGGGTTTAGTCATCGTTGTATCGAGTACTTTATGCGTGACATAACGCGATATAAGTTTATGTACTCGTACACAGCACAACGACGCGGCAGACTCGGGGAAACCTGTGAAACTCGGTGTCCGTATCAAATGTCCCCCTTCGGACTTGGAGAGGACAAAAAAAAAAAATAAGTAAATACATAAACATGATATTTGTTTCCCATTCGCCATAACTCCCGGAAAGGGGACCGCAAGAGGCGATTGGCAGCTTGTACTTGAATAGGTATTCCCATTAATAGGTATTTTGACCGCGGTCGAGTATATTATATCTACGGTCACGACGATGGTGGAGGTGGTTACGATGGGCGGTCACGTCCGGTTACCACCCTTTGTGATGACGGTGATCGCTTCGCCAAAGAGGGTGTCGTCACCGCAGGAATAACGCGCGCGCATGCACGTGTAAACGTGAAACGCATCGCACGAAATATAATGGCAGCGGCGCATTGGGAAATGGCGAGCGCAACGCGATGTGGAGGGGTTCGTTGGTTGCGGCGCGTAGGGGTCTCAGGACAGAATGGCGGCCATGCTATTTAGCGCGAGAAGAAAGAGACGACGGCGATGGAGTCGAGGAGAGCGCGGAGGGACGGGAACCCTAGGAAAAACTGGCGTTGATTAAGTGCGAAAACGAAGAGGGTCGTCGGATCTCTACGCGCGCAGCATCGAACGGGGGCTTTTCACCGCACTACGACTGTACGTAAACGTGCGCGAGTGCATACACGTGTATATGATTGCTCGTACGTCACGCGTGAATAGCAGGTGCATAATGTATACGTTCGCATATTGTCCTCATCGAGACGCAGCGGTGCCAATCCGCTATTTATTATTATTATTTTTTTTTTAATTTTAATTCTCGCTCAGAAACAATCACAGCAGAGAGCTTTCAATCGATACCGACCCTCGTGCGTGCAATAAATACGCACAACACGCAAAAACGATGTGCGCGCGCGTAAAATACTGATCCGTTTTCAACACGATCGATAAATATTTCCCCCGTAGAAAAGCAAAACGTTTATAATACCGTACCCGCCCCGTCCGGTCTCCGTTTATCTTTATTTATTTATTTTTCACGCGATAGACGCAATTGTACGGGAGTTTTCGATACGTAGTACCGTGACGTACGCGTATTCGTACCGATGTTAGCGATCGAGAAAAATTACTGCGCATTGCTCACGACGACCCCATCGGGTTGTGCGTTATCCCGCCGCGTACACATCAAATCGTCCTCGTCGTGCACGAATCGTTCGTTTTCGCAAAGATATATCACGCGAATATGTACGGATCACGCGCGCATAAACACCGTATTAATTGAATATCATTCGCGTGCGTACAGCGCGGAGACTTGAACGCGTATTGATCTACACGTGGCTTACGTTTTGA